CTTAATTTATTATTATTTATTTATTTTTTCTTTTTTTTTGCATAACGGTCACCCATTTCCGATTTTAGTCGGGCGAGGGGGGCGGTGTATTTCCTCCTCCTCCTCCTGCGCCGAGGAGAGAGCATCCTTCTTCCCCGCTCCGAGGAGAAGGGGGCTGCTGCGGCCGGAGCCGGTGAGGGGGAGCCTGGGAGGGAGGAAAGGGGGAAAGAAGCTTGGCACGGAAGGTGGAAAAGTTGATGCCACCCGCTCTGGCAGAAGGAGGCCAGCTCAGAGCCAAATAACTTCTAAAGGGGCTGCTGGCAGAAGGGGGCTGGGGTTGCACCAGCCTCTTTGCTGCCTTTCCCGAATGGGCTTTGCGTGTGTCCATCTGTGCGAGCGACAAGCTGAGCCAGAGGCTGGGCTGAGCTCTGGGGGGAAGCTCTTCTCCCCTTCCCAAAAGCACAGCTCCTCTTGCACGGCGGAGAGGGGCCACGCTTGGGCCGGGCCAAGCACTTTTTGGGACTTGGTCTCCGAGATTTGCACCAGGGTGTGGGGAAAAGCAGCCCTCCTGCTGGTGTCACAGAATCTTCTAGGTTGGAAGGGACCTTAAAGATCATCTTGTCTCCAACATGCTGAGCGAGGGTGTGGTTCCCCAACCAGTGCCAGCATTCGCACTGATAGAGGAAACGGCTGAGCCCAAGGAAGGGAATTTATTTACTCACCACTTTTACTGTACAGCTTTTACTCTTCTCTGTCTCGGGCAGCTCTGCTTTTTTTTTTTTTTTTTTTTTCAGCTTGCCCGAATAAGCGGTAATTCCTCCTTCTTCTCTGATCCAGCAGGTGCTTCTCAGCGAAGAGAAGATAATTCAAAGAGACCAGAGATGCCTTGGCCAAGCAGAAAGAGAGACAAAGGAGCAGCAGCAGGTCTGTGCTGGCATCCTAACTAATTCAGCATCTCTCACTTGAGGGTCTAAGCTATAGTGAAACTACAGACAGTCATCTTAACCGTCTGTCTTTCAAAGCCGTGCCTCTTACAGACAGCACTTCCTCTGTAAAAACAGGCTGAGCATCCACGTGTGACTGAGACTAGATGTTCAGGAGGGACAATGGTGTATTCTCAGCACAAGGTGGTTAAGAAAGGTAACTCATGCCCATTTATAAAGAGTTTTCAGATCTTACATGTCAGAGATGGTCAAAGCATACCCAGGCAGGAAGCTGATGTGGTACTATCTGCAAAAAAAACAAAACAAAAAGCAAAAGTCTTGCACTTGAGGCAACATTTTGTGGTGTTTCAAGTTTAAGATGAAAAAATTGCACAGTTGGCTCATCTGCTTAATCAACTCCAGCAAATAACCACCTTCCTACCCTTTAATCACTTTTTATTAATTATTTTTTTTGCTTTCTGGGTCCTGGAAAATATGGACCTCCTCTGAACAGGTAACACAGTGGAGGCTTAATCTAAGGCTTTCAGCTACTGCAGTAATTGAAATAGCTTGCTTTGCTGCTCATTTACCTGTTATTCACCTGACTCACCTAAATCAACTTCATTGCCTGCAGCTGATTTCTCAGCAATTAATTAAAAAAAAAAAATCAGCTACATTTCATGTGGGCAACATGGTCTATCTTGGCTTTTTTTAACTATGACTATGGTTTGTGCACACCACACACACACAAAAAAAATAATCCTTATTTCAGATGCAAACTAGAAATATTCAGAAACATTGGTGCATAATGCTCCTACCTTACCCAGAGCATCTGGGGTGCACCAAACTCCTGCTACACTCAAATCCCAGTGTGTGAAAGTAGCTTGGATGACTGAAAATGTTTCAGCACCAGTCCTTATCAGAAACAAAATGTGTTTTATCTGAATGGTCTTGTTTGTTGTTGCTTCTTTTAAGATAAAAAAGAGCCTGATGCTAAAATTGCCAAAACTGAGGAGGAGACTTCGGATAAGGAGGACGAAGAGAAGACCACTAAACCTCCAGCTGGGAGTTCCAAGTCAGGATGGAAGAACTGGAAGAAGACAAAAGAATCCGATGCCGGTGGGGAGGAAAGCAAGATAACATACTGTCATTGGCTTCTGAAATCAGAGCCAGAGAGCAGACTGGAGAAGGGAGTGGATGTGAAAGTAAGCACTGACACCTATCAGCAAAGTATAGAAGCAGTTTCACTACTGTCCAGAGCATTAGAGTCTGAACTCTGAGTTACAGGATCCAACAACTCAGATTGCTTGCAATTAACACTATTTTGTCTTTACTTCAAAAAGTGTCTATCTTCCTGGAAACAGAAAGACATAACGTTGTTCTCTGCCAGGTTGACAGCCTTGGGGTTTGATACTTGTAATAAAAGAGGAAATGGGGGTCCTTGGGATGCTTTGCTGTTGGTATCAGGGGCAGCATCTACTTCAGCTTCTGCATTCAGTGTCCCTCCTTTATGAAGGCTTTTCTTTAGCCCCTGTGGGAACCAGAAAAATGCATGAAGTTTGTTCTATAATTGAAGGAGTGACTAGGAGCAAATGTTTAGGCACAGGACAGGCAATAAGAGAGTAAAGATGAGACTGCCTCCCGAACCTAACGTGGGTTTTCATTCCATTTGGTAGTTCAGCATTGACGACTTGAAAGCTCAGCCCAATCAGACAACCTTTTGGGATGGAGTAAGAAACTACCAGGTAAGGAGCACGTGCCACAGATGGACTCACTGTTAGTTCTTGTTGCTAGCTGCTTAGACTGAAACCCTGAGAGCTTGATACAAAGAGCTCAAAGCCTCTCCTTTACACCCGACAGGCAAGGAATTTCCTGAGAGCCATGAAACTTGGGCAGCAGGCCTTCTTCTACCACAGTAACTGTAAAGAGCCTGGCATTGTTGGCATTGTCAAGGTGAGTGTTGCTTTCTCCTTCTGTGTTTCAGGGAGGGGGAAAAAGTACTAATGGGTGGGTTGTCAAACAGCTCATTAGCCCTGCTTCTGTCTGGGCACCAAAGGAGTGCAGAAGTTGGCCAGTCAGAGCAGCAACTCAACGGTTCATCCTACAACAGGGCTGACTCAGGGATTTTTCCCCAGAGAAATGGAACCAAACTGCTGTTTCCCTGCTGACATTTCAGAGTGATCCAGCCAAGCCAAGTGTTGCTCCACACTCTGATTAAAATCTGATTCACTAAATCCTAGTCAGCTGAGCCTGCAAGACAGTAGGGTAAAGCCTAGGGCACAGAAAAGCTTTTACTTTAAGAGGAGAACTCCTCACAAAGACTATCATCATCTACCCAGTTTTCCTGTGTTGTGTGTGCTCCTTCCACATTGCTCTCCTAAGAGGTGATGGTGCTTCACTGGGAGCTGTACTGTTCTGCAGTGCTTCGACCCAAGAAATGTAAAGGAAGGAAACGCATCCCATCGCTAGAATGGAGTTCAGGGAAAGCAGGGCTGATTTTTGCACCGGGATTATTCCTTGTGGCTAGTCACAGCTTGCACAAAGGCAAGTCATACCCTCTGCTGACAACAGTGTTTGGACTGATGGGAACTTGTCTTGCCTTCTTCTCCCCTTCTGCTTCAGATCGTAAAGGAGGCGTACCCGGATCACACACAGTTTGATCAGAAGGATCCTCATTATGATTCCACCAGCAGAAAAGAGAACCCCAAATGGTCCATGGTAATGTAGTAAACTAAATACAGCTGTTTTGAGCTGTGTGTGCAAGCCAAGCCAAGGTAGAAGCCTCTTTGCATCATATCACATATCTTCTTAAGCTTCTGTCCTGGCCTAGCTGCTGTTTTTCTTTTTTGAGAGAAAATTCAATCCTGAGTGTTTTCTATACCTTTTCCCCCATCTCTTCCAGAAGGCTGCCAAATGTGTCTCCCTAAATTTTCCAATCTTACTTGGCTGCAGAGCTGACCTCTGTGCAGGGCAGAATTCTGGGTTAGGAAAGAGAAGGAACCTCTCAGCCTACAGCAAAGCTGTAGTTTTGAGGCCCACTAAATTATAGGGAAGCGGCTGTTCCCGGGCTGGCTGCATCCCATATCTTAATTTTGTGCTGTCTGTGACAACATGAGTGTACGTTGCTCGTGCACAGCGCTACGATTCATGTCAACAGATCACCTGCCAAAAGTCGCTTTAGCCTTGAGCAAGGAGAAGTTCCCAGCAGCCATTTGCTTCGGTCTAACGTCTTTATCCCTGCAAAGTTCTCCTGTGCCATCTGGAGGCTCTGTCCGTCTCCAACCATGCCCCTTTGCTGCCCATCCTTTCCCAGGTGGATGTCCAGTTTGTGCGGATGACAAAACGCTTCATCCCCCTTTCTGAAATCAAGGCCCACCACCTGGCACATAAAGCAGATGGAGGCCCCCTGAAGAACATGATGCTCTTCACGAGACAACGTCTGTCCATCCAACCACTGACACAAGGTAAGAACCTCCTTTGCACTCTTGGTTCCAATCCCTCTGAGAGGCAGCCCTCACCCAGAGAACTCGGAAGCTCCACTGATGGCTTTCTCTTCCTTACCTTTTCAACGCAGAGGAATTTGATTTTGTCTTGGGCCTGGAAGAGGAAAAGCCACATTAAGGAAGTGACAGCAGCACAGCTTCTGCCCAGCCCGCTGATGCCTCCTCCTAAACCAGCATCACTCTCCAGTTTACTTGCTCAACTGCAGCAACAAGAACATGCCCGCACATGATTTGCAGCTACATGGCCCTTATTCTGACACACTGTTACTTTTTTTTTTTTTTTTGCTTATTTTTAAATAAAGCCTTTTAAAATCAATTGCAGCTCCTCAATTTTCAATAGGGGAAAAAATCTGCAGTTTACCTCTAGAAGGATGAAATGGGTACATCCTCCTTGAGGATGGTGACTACAGGATCCCGTGCTGTTCCATGTGCTGCAGAGGAACATTTTTCTGCAGAAAGGTATAACTCAGCTTCTGTCTAAAACAAGAAAATTTAGATGTACATACATATCCAGCCCGGTTGCTGCAAAGCAGATCGCAGTTACCCTCCTGCAGGTACAAAACCTCCCGTGTTATTTTAGTACTGACAATGGGGAAACAGAAGAAAATACAGCTTGCTTGCTCATTTTTAAGCTACGTGGGTCCTCCACCAGCACAGCTTCTAGGCAGTGACATAGCTTAAAGAAAGCCACGAATTTATAAAGATAACAAACTCTTTAACCATGTTTGGGAGGCTACACAGTATGGCACTAAAGGAAAAATGTCTTAATATCCTTAAAAGAACCAACAACCCCAGCCAGGCAATATAAACCATATCAGACAAACTCATGGACAGCGTTTGACAGCCAGGGCTGGCTCTTTTTAATTGGAGAGACAAAAGAACCCAAGTTTTTAAAACACAGCCATTGAAAAGACGACGAATTAAGAAACATGTAAACACAGCAGAGGCTTAATTACAGGTTTGCACTGCTTGGTTTAGTACTTGCACACTCCCCCCTGCCTGGCTGGGCCTGGGGAGGGGGAGGGAATGACCCAAGTAGTGAAGAGAACCCCCCCCTGCTCAGGGGACAGGGGCTGCTCGAGTAGTGTCTGCCCCTTACCCTGCTAATGAAATGCTTTATTCTAAAGTACCTTGTCCTGGAGTGACCTTAGGCTTCAACTTCTCTCTAAAGGTGCTCAGCACCTTTGGAGGTGCACCTCTAAAGATGCTCCACCCCAGACAAACAGAGGGGGCCTGGGGGGGGTAAGGGCTTGGAAAGGTCCATCTAGATTAAGTAAAAACGTGGATCCTTTCTGAATTCTGGTTCCACAAGTAGGGACACAGGACAGAGGGGCACAAAGTAGAAAAAAAAAAAAAACAACACCAAAACTAACCCAATGTATAGGCTCATGCACTTTTTCCAAGTAATCCCGCCAGAAGTGATGAACAGATGTTTAATAGAAATCTCCTTACAGCACACTGTCTTGGCAGACAATTATCTTACATCCAGCACCGATGCTGTTCAGCCAGTAAACAAAAAAAAAAACCTCCTGGAATGCAGAGACATCTTCATCCACGGGGTTTCTTTAGTACCACGTGGCCTACGGTCAAGAGGGATAGGCAAGGAAAAGAAAAAACAAAAAACACTGGGTGGGATGGGAGTTGAGGGAAAGCTAGAGGGGGTTTGGGGTGCTGCTGTGCTCAGCGCAGCCACGGAAAGGTCATCTGCTAACCCTGGAGGCTCCCTCAGGAGCTTCACTTGTCTCTAAGAGATTGTTTTGCCCCAGCACAGGTGGTTCCCCCGACACGGAGCGGGGAGTAGAGCCAGTATCAAAAGTAACACCCAGATTCCTTTGCCGTGTGAGCCTCCTGCCCTGGCCTAACAAGGTGGTTGTCTAAAGTGAGCTTTTGCTTCAGTCTTAGGAAGACACGGCTCCAGCCCATGGCACAGACTTCTCATGTAACGAAAAGCAAGCCACGTCTTCACTACTACAGAGCAGAAACATGATGTGACACGAGCACTCAGCAGAGATGAGATCGTTAGTGTCCTCTACAACAGAGCGAGACTGTCCAGCTCTACTAAAAACCACAACCTTACACGTGGCGAGTAAAAGATAACTTACTTTGGCAAGCAGAAACACACATTTATCACTGAAATACAGTAGCTGTCTTATTACATAAAAAGCTCCCCTTCCCACCCAGGCCCCGCTCCCTCCACCAGCACTGTTCCACTAACAAAGCAGGAGATACTTCCATTTCCCAGCTGCAAAACAACTGTTCTACATCCAGCTGTAGGACAGAGACAGAGGAGATTCATTCCAGAATCAAAAGGAAGCTGGACAAAACCCTAGCGAGCCACAAACTCATAGGGAAATACATACAAAACCCACTTTGATAGAGTTCTTATCCCAGCGGGCTTGTCTCTCCATCTGCAAGGAGCTCTAACCATCTGCTTCCTTGAAGGGCATCTAAAGAGGATGGATATTCTCCAGACTCGGTCAATCAACTCTACTAAGCCACATCTAATTTTTAATGGAGGAGTGACTCCCTTCTGGGAATGTTCTCACGACTCTACTTAGCTGAAGACTAAAAGCAGCTTATTTTAGAAAAGAAAAGACCCGCATTCAGGTTCTCAGTTCATGGCAAACCCTCAGACCTCACTGGTGACTTCAGCTTGGGCCTCAGGAACGTGTCTCTGGAACCAGAGAGCTCTACCATCCTTCCACCTGCAGCACACAACAGGCCATGAGCTTCTTCAAACAATTGCATCCACTTTCTGCCCTTACTAATCCTCATCCCGCAGGCATGAGGGGAGCAAACAAAACAATACACGTGTTTCTATACTGCCCTGGGTCCCTACTACAAAGCCTGCCCTGCCACAAGGACACAGACAGGAGGAGGGCAGCATGTGCAGCACCAGCCCCCTCTCAAGAGAGCCCCCATTTATTTCTCACCTTCCAAAACTATTCTCCAGACCCCTCAAGGCTGGTCTGCCCCTGTTCAGCAGCAGAGACTGAACCTCAGGGGGACTCAGGCAGCCACCAGGACAAGACTAGGAAGGCACTGCTCTCAGCCAGGAGCCTTCCTGCCCCCTCTTCATGCCCATCCAAGGGACCTTCACTGCTCTGCCCCAACCTTTGCCACCTCCTACTGCCTTTGCCTGCCTCGCTCCCTCCTACCAGCCATGGCTCCACAACATGGCGACAAGGAGCTCCCCGGCAAGGACAGGAGAGCGTGGTGGCTGTCCCTGCTCCACGGCAGTCCCAGCGCTGAGCCAACTACGGGATATAACTGTTGGTGACAAGGAACCCAACGCCAGCACGAAGAGGAAAGGGAGGCAGCGAGGGGATAACACCAAGCAATTCCAAGTAGGCACCTCAGTCTCTGACTCCCTCCTCTACCTTCCAGCTAATCGCTGTGTCATTCTCCCTCGTGAAGATTTGAGAAAAAGGCAAGAAAAACATCCATCCCACACAGCCCCAAAGCAACCTCCACGCCGCTGGGAAGAAGCAGCAGATTGAGCCTTCACTTGCTCTCTCCCTCCCCACCGCCACGCTGAGGGGCTCTTGGGGCAAAGAGGAGATCAGGCAGCTCCGCAGCCTCCGGACACACGCCTCAAAGCAGCCGACCCCAGAGGAATGTAGTTGATTGGGAAGCACTGAGGTACCTTCAACTCCTCACCAGCAGTGCCCCAGCTCGCCTCGCCCCCCCCAGTCCCCTTCCCACCCTCCGAGTCCTTTGAAGAAAGGAATTAAGTCAAAAACGGATATTTATTTTCATGAAGTCTCTGAAGTGTGGTTTTTTTTTGTATTTTCTTTTCTTCCTCCTCGCTGCTGTCCCCACTGGCTCCACAGCAGCCTTCCTCTGCGTGGCCTCTCACTGCCGGCCGTTGTTCTCTGCAGGCTGGCTGGGGGTCTTGGCCTCACTGTGGGAGGACGTCCCCTCAAACCTCTGGGAGGCGATGGCTGCTTGGTGGGACATGCTCTTCCTCACTATGTCTCCTTTCCGCCAAAGCACCACCTCCTGTAGTAACACAGCCAGCAGGGCTTGTCAGGGCTTGTGGAAACCTCCTCCTGGCCACCACCCAGACCCAACGGCTGAACCAAGCTGCCAGGCGAGTGGTGAGAACTCAAGCCCATGCTGGCGCATTCCACCCGCGGCCCTGCGCATGAGGCCACTTGCAGTGGCAAGTAGAGGCCTCGTGTTGCAGCCTTCCTCAAAATCTGGATCTGAACACGCTGGGGCAACTCACTGGAGGTCTAGGGCAGCTCTGCCCTATTGCCGTTGGCTACCACATTGGAATTCATAAGGTGAAGCACCGAAGCTCCACCACAGGGCAACAGAGGGGAAAAAGAAGTCCCAGACGGGCACCTTCTACATGTAAGCCCACCACCACGCACATCCCACCTGCATGGATCACTCCTAGACCCTCTTTGCACACTCCAATTTGCCTACTTCTTACAGATATTCAGTCAAGAACATGATTGTCCCCCATGGGAATCCCAAATTCCCAGAAGATCCCAAGTATCCCAAGCAACAGTCTACAGGTCCAAGAACTAACAGCTCTATTTCTCACCTGCTGTTTGAAGTAGCGTCTCTCCTCCTCATCAATCAGCACCAGATTGAGGTAATAGCGCACCGAGAACTTCTTATTGATGTCCCTCATCGTTGGAGTCAGCTCGTAGCCAGCCAGAAAGAGTCGGATGGGAATGGACTCCCCTACAAAAGCGCACAGAACCATCAGCACAGATATAAACTGGGACAGCACCCGCAAAACAAAATCTCGCTAGCCCACAAACTTTGCGACCCTTTCCACAAGTGGAGTAAGGTGACCTAAAAGGCCTCAATTCCCTTCAAAAATCAGCATGCGCGGTCCGTAGCCAGATCCTGCCCTCGCTGACAGCTATTCCATCTCCACTTTAACAGCACAGGACTCATCTGGGACCTGCATCAAGACGGCACTGCAGGAAATAATGAATAAGGTGACATTTTCCCTGGCAGGTGACTCTGCTGGGCAATGGAACTGGAAAGCAAGTGGCACAGGAGACTGGCACAGAGCTAGAACACCACATCTTTCTGCTCCAAGTTGCAGCAATGCCAGCTGGTGGCCCACGCCAGCAGTGAATTTACATCTATTCCTGGTCCTGCCACTGCTTCATCAAAAGAATTAAGTCATTGCAGCTCATTATGCCTCAGTCCCCCCTCATTGTACCAGAGAAGGAAAGGGATTGTCTTTAACCACCTGTGTAAACTGCTGTGAGTCCGCTAGTGAAACAGGATGCACACTACTACTGAGCACACAGACCCAGGTGAAGACACTGCAGGACTCGTTTTCCTCATATTCCCACCCCAGAAGAACTTCAGAAGAAGAATTCCAAAGGGTTCATCTGCCTCCTCACCTCTCACAGGTGCCCCATCCATGATCTCGTATTTAGCTATTGTGTCATTCTCGTGATAGACGTTGGGTCCGGTCCCCGTTGTTTCCCTCTTGATGATGTCTATCTCCATGTGTTTGATCTTGATTCGCACCAGCAGGAAGTAGATCTTCCCCACAATCACATCTTTTAAATGATACCTAGCAGGCACGGGAAGAAAGCACCACAGTCAAAATGCTGTCAAACTAACCCGAACGCTACGCTGCGGGGAGATTTGCCAGCATCAGCTGGGAAAGATGCTTTAGAAGTAGTTTAAACGAGTTGTTTCCAAGTTCTGTGCCTGAATTAAGGTCCCACTTCAGCTTATTGTCTGGTAAAGAGCAGATGTTATACTTTGAAAACACCTGGAAATACTGGTCTTGCCGAGGACACAGGGGATGGGAAGTTACTGCAGCAGCCTCAGACTGCGCTCCCAGCTTCGTGTGCCACAGCCACCGCTTCCCAGTCCTTGGTCCAGAGAGCACATCGTTGGCCAAGGAGAGGAACCTAAAGATCCTCCGCCAGGATCCAAGCTCTCCGCCAGCCTCGCTGGAGCGCAGGAACAAAGAATACCTTTGAGGATCACAAGACACACACACCTTGGGCTTCCAAACTGAGCTGTCCCCGTAGCAAATGGTTCTCCACAGCCACCAGCTGCTCTTGAGACACTTACTTGGACTTGTTATACTCGAACTCGATGTGCAGGCAGTCCTCGATGCCCACTTCCATCTTAATAGAGGAGTTGAGCTCTGGGTAGGTGCTCAGGGTGTGCACAACGATGTCCATCTCCTTCACCACGTCGTTCAGTCTGCGGCTGACGGTCGCTCGGAGGAAATACCTGCAGGGAGAGCCCCCCTCCTGTTAGGGCTGCACAGGCAGCAACTGAGACAACGCAGGGAGGGAGATCATAGAAACATAGAATCGTCTAGGTTGGAAGAGACCCTTGGGATCATCGAGTCCAACCATCTCCCCTACTCTACAAAGTCCTCCCCTACACCATGTCCCTTAGCACTGCATCTAAACGGCCCTTAAACACAGCCAGGGATGGTGCTGAGTGGGTTGTACTGGGCTACCCAAGAAGTCTTGCTGGTAGCCTGGCTGCTGGAGCAGCCAATACCCCGTTGTTGGAAAAGAAAGAAGGGAATTTCCAAATGGAAAAGCAGCCTCTTCTAAGACTCCTCTAAGCTTTCACGCATTTGTGAGCCTGAGTTACCTAAGGACCATTCTGGGGATCTGAGTAACACCTTGCACATGTTAAAACCACTGCCCTTTTGCAAGAGATTAGATCACACCGGTCTCCACAGGCACACCTCTCTGTGCACATCTCAGGATCTTCCAGCTCCCCCCTTCAAAGCCAGCGACTGGATTTCAAGTCAACTGGAGTGCCTGCATACAGTTTGCAACATAAGAACAAGGTACAAGCCAGGCATCTGTTTGCACATAGAGCATAATTAAAGTCGACAAGACTGATTACAAGGCAGCAAAAATGTCCCCCTTGGAGACAATTTCTTTTGGTGTCTGAATTCCAAAATAAATTAGAGAGTCTTCCATTGATTCAGAGGGGCTGATTTCTCCTGTCACTTAAAAGGGGGCAAGTTCCATAAAGCACGTGTATAAAAGCAGAGCCCACAAAGACAGCCTTTTACAACTTAACCCACCAAAATTCATTTGGAGTTACGTTACGAGCTTGCAAGGATGTCTGGAAAGGGACACTGCACACCAGTATCCTCACGGTAAATATCCGCACAGAACCAAGAAGGGGAGGAGACTCACCTCAACTTCACATTCTGCCCCGTGTAGGACTCGTAAGGTTTCTCCACGTGTGTGAATTCAAAGTCAAACGTCTGCGATTGGGTGAATTCACCAGGACGGGCCAGGTCTTTCACCAGAGACACGAACTCGTGGTGGTTTCCTCGGTCATAGTAGAGTTCTAGGAAGACAGAAGCCCAGGTTAAACAGCGACGCTTAATCCCACGTGACACAGTGAGGAAAAGCAGGAGGTTTCACAGCCTCAAGCAGCTCTCGTCCAGTTCACTGCTTCCTTCACCACTGTCCAGAGAACCTACCAGGGGAGGTCCTGCACTGCTTCACCGCTCTCCACCAGAGCCAAGTTCAGGCCAGAACTTTTCCTCCTTGGAACAGGAAGGAACAGCCTCACGTTCTACAACAAATCAGGAGCTTGACTTGCCTTAGAGTGACAGGGGTCACCTATTATCAATATTAACTATGTTCAGACTGTTTGGGAAGGGGAGCCAGCAGCTCACGTAATCCCGTCCCGTAACTTTCTACACAATACTCCAGGTGAAAGGCATTGCCGTTGTAAAAAGATGAAAAAACACACCAATGCTTCTCTGGAAGAGCAAAGAGCAACAGAGCAAAACCAAAGGGCTAGGAGGCTTCCTACAGAGTTTGGGTGGTCTCCAATGGCACCAAGGAGTAAGTAACAGTGGAGATCCTCACCCATTCTGTGTTGGACAGCACGACTACCAAGCGTGTGGGGAGGCAACTGAGTCAACTGCTCCAGCAGCCCCTGGATAACACATGAATGGCTGAAGGGAGCACGGAGGAGGGAAGAACATTGGAAGCACTGCTCAAACCAGCTCCAGTAACCAACGCGGTCACGTTGCTTCAGTTTCCCCCACAACCTTCTTGCGTCAGCAGGAAACAGCTACAGGTTTCCTCATTTAATGAAAGCAATCCTCTCTACACTTCCACAAAGTTTTCTGCCTTCAGACAGAGCGACAGAAATGTAAAACTCTGCCATTTCAATTAACAGCTCTTGTGTTTCACACAACCATCACTGCAACCTGCCCTTCCCAACCCCTGCACAGGAGCTGCGTGACTCCGAGACACCCACACGGTCCTGCTAAAAGGTAAGGCCTTGGCCAATCTGATCTGTTTAGATGAGGAAAAAAAAAAAAAAAAAACAAAAAACCTCAGTCATCAGACAATCATAATACACACAACTTCACTGTCAGCACTAAACCGTGCAGGGGAGGCTCCTGGGAGGTTTTATTAGAGCTCGCAGCGAGACTCATTCTCCGCTCCTTGAGATGCAGGATGAGATTTTAGCTTTTAAGTAATGTCTATTTCTTACGCCCCTTCGCTCACCTTATCTCTGTAATGGAAATATTGGCACTGGAGCACCCCTCGCTTGCGCAGAACAGCGAGTGCCACCGAGCCCTTCAGGCTGGGCAGGCAGGTGACATAAATAAACCCACTCTCCCTGCACCGAATACGTGTCCACCCAGAGGAAAGGGCTCGTTGATGTGACAGGGAGAAGCCACGTGCCACACGAAGAGAGGAATATATCATCTTCCCACACGACGCGGAAGGCAACGGCTGAATTTAAAGCAAAGGGGAGGCAAATGTCAGTATACGAAGTCCTCTGCTGCCTCGGAAAGGGCTCTGCAGCCGTAAGAATAGGAAGGATTGGTGTTTCCCACACTTCAGCAGACATGAGCACGTCAAACAGGTCAAAGCTGTAATTTCAGCTTTTCAGAGCGTTAAGGTTTCCAGATGGGAAAAAGAACTAAGCATCGTTTATGGTGGCACGCTCAGGACACAGTAACCGCAGGTGAACCGCAGCCTTAAATGGGTTCTGTGCTCAGCAGAGCAGTTATTCCGAATACCTATGGCTCAAAAGCCTCCCGAAATGGGGCTTCAGAAGCAGGCGAGACCACAGAGAAGGAGACAGAGCGGAGCAGGAAGCGGAGTTCATGCTTGATTTCCACTGATGATCATAATCAAGTATCAGGAGGTCCTAAGCTCGCTCCTGACGAGAGCTCCATCACTCCCAGGCTCTCCCTGCCTCTCCTCCCTTTCCTTTCCAAAAAAATCAGTGCCAACGACAAGCGAGACCAGCAAAACCATTCAACAGCAGTATCGCTGGGTGGGGGAAACCTCTAGTTCTCTTCCCCACACCGCACGATTTGCAATGCAAAGGTGGCAGGCCCCCAGCTCACGCGGCGATTTTGAGGGTTTAGACCCGAGTCAAGGCCACAGACGTGAGACAGCCCCGTGGCTGGGAAACAGCTTGGAACTTATTTTGGGTCTTGGGCACATCCGTGAAACACAGACCCATCTCCGCTCCCATGGAAGAGTGGGTGTGGCAGCTCCCTTTCCTCTAAGAAAGCAGAAAATTATTAAACCTTAAACAGGTTCCACGCGCAGATAACCACCGGCTTTTGAACAACTGGAGGCCACCCAACTCATCGCGCCGGGATGCGTGGTCACCCACCCAAAAAAGAATCAGAGAATAAAAGATGGAATGGGCCGAGCTGAGCCCGGAAAGCTCATCTGCCCAGGTAAAACACTGAGAAACTGGATGTGAGAACCCCTCCTGGACCAATTGGACCGGGACCTTACACGGGGCAGGGGCTGGGAGGTGTCGCTCGTGGTTTGAGGACGTTTGGGCAAAACCCATCCCGTTCACCATCCTCGGCAGAGCCATTGCTTCCCTGCCCCGATCCATTAGGCATGGAAGAAACGCAGCCAGCCAGCTCCTGGAGCTGCCCATAAAGACAGCCTGGAGAATTCCAGCCAGGAGAGCTCGGCATCGCTAGGATATCCAGGCTCCCACCTGCATCGGGCAGGATGGAAACCAAATTTTTACCCTGCCTCCAGGGGAAAAAAAAGGGAGCCGAAACCGGTGACCGAGCGGGAGCGAGAAAATAGGACGGGGAGAACAATGACCTGGAAAGGGACCGGAGTGCCCTCCCTTCCGCCGGGGATGGAGCACGGGCCAGGGACCGGCTTGCATCCCGGCCAGAATCAATCATCCCGGGCGGAATCAAATCAATCATCCTGGGTGGAATCATCATCCCGGCCGGAATCAATCATCATCCCGGGTGGAATCAAATCAATCATCCTGGGTGGAATCAATCATCATCCCGGGCAGCCCTGGGAATTCTCCCCGTGCCGGCGAGGATTTCCCTGCCGTGGGCCTGCGTGCCCACCCGGGCATCGAGGGACAGCCGGAGGGACGTGGCAACCCCAGGGAGCGGGGAGGCCACCGGAGGGACCGGTTTGACGGAGGACACGAGCTCTCACCGATCTGCCCGATGAACTCCACCTTGATGCCCTGATGCTCCAGCCGCTTGTTGGGGTACTTGAGGGTGAGGACCACCCGACCGGAGACGGTCTCCCCGTCGTAGAAAAGGAAGTATTTCTCCTTCTTGCCTTCCTCCGTCTTGTGCTCCACCCGCCGCCGGCTCTCGGCGTCGCTCAGCACCAGCTCCAGCTCCGCGCTCTGCCCGAACCCGAAGAAAGTCATGGCACCGGCCTCCCGGAGGACCCGCAGCTCCCGGGGGCGGCGGGGGACCCCGCAATGCGGCAGGGATAACCGGGGAGGGGGCGGCGGTGGGGCCTCCTCCTCCTCCCCGCCCGCCGCTGGAGGGAGCCCGGGGCGGCCGGACCGCCTCGCCGGGCCTGCTCCCGGGGCCGGGCCGCCCAACCGCGCATGCGCCGCCCGCCGGGAGACGGAGCCGGGGAGCCGGGGCGGCGGCGGCGCTTTCCCGTCCCCCGCCCCTCGTCGCCCGTCCCCCGCCCCGGGTTCCGGTGGGCGGATCGCGCGGGGCCGACGGGAGAACGCCA